GCTTCCTCAGACCTTGGTATAAAGTCATCACCTTTGGGCCATGAATAGATCTTAATGCATTTTTTTTTTGTTTTGTTTTGTTTTAATGCAAAACAAGTCCAGAGCTGGGCAGAAACTGAGTCTGAGGAAGCCACAGATATGATAAAATAATGACGATAATGGAAATGACAAATAATCAGAGTTGTAAAGTAACTACTTTGTTAGTGTACTTAAGTAGAATTTTTGGGTATCTGTACTTTACTTGAGTAATTACTTTTTAGCCTACTTTTTACTTCTGCTTCTTACATTTTCACACAATTATCTGTACTTTCTACTCCTTACATGTTTAAAAAAGACAAGGAATAGAAAGTCGTTACTTTTATTTCATTTCTGCTTGTTTTCATTCCAGCTTGTTATTGTAAAAAATAAATACTGTTCATATAAATTGTGCCTCCTAGATAGAGTGAATTTAATTGTGGTTGAATGAGAAGTATAAATATATAAAACTCTGATACCGTATTAGTTTGTACACAAACAAATCATGTCACACTCCAGCAGGACATAATCATTAAAATAAAAGGACTGTACTTAAGAAGTATTTGTGTTTCATGAATTACATTAATGCATTTGGCCGCAGCCCTAGGATGGATTTTCATTTTGGGGAAAGGTTTAGACAGCCTTGATATACTGTATATATATACTGTATATACACGGTGGTCACCTCCTAATAAATGTCCTTACAGAAAATCTAACTGCTCATTTTAAATCAATACTTTTACTTTTAATACTTAAGTACAAAAAATATCAGATACTTTAATACTTTTACTCAAGTATCACTTTGTGGTACTTTATACAACACTGCAAATAACCAGCCAATCGTTTGGTTTTAAGTGACCGCTGCTGAATCTAAAGCTCTGATTCCAGGTCTTCCGTCTCCGTCAAAGACGAACCCACAGAGCCCCTCTACAATTATTTCTCTTAGATTAACATCATTCTTTCTTTTCTCTTTTCTGTAGCACTCAGGAGGAACCATTTCACCATGTCAACGTGACACTCGCGCACTGGTGACCTAGCATGACAAGTCACCTYTGGCACCATCATCCTCTGTGAGCCTTCATCTCGGGGAGAGATTGACAGCAGATTTTAAAGCCTCTGCACTTAAGAGATTCACGCTCTGAGGGGGGGAAAAACTGTTAGTCTTTCATGTTTTCACCCACATTCTTCTGAGATGTGGTGAACTCATTAACAAGGATGTTACTCTCTTGTTTTACTTTAACTACGGGTTCGACACTTTTCCCCCCACAAACATTTCATCTCAGGTTACGGCACAGCATTGAGTCCAGAGTCTGGGTTTTGCATGGGATTTGCATAAACTCTTTGCATATTTGACTTTTTCCTCTGCGGCCCAGAGATAAGGGGTAACAAAAAAAAAGAAGGCCATACTTTTTGCATGAATAAAACGAACGAGGCTAGACGCGAACACAGCTCACATACGTAAACATAGCAGTAGCACAGTCTAAAACATACACTCTGGTAAATGTTCATTCTGCTTGAGTACAGCAATACAGTCAAATAAATGTGCTTACATCTGCTGGAATTGCCCCTGTGAATACTAAATAATGGAAGAGAGTTTTTACAGCTGTGTGGATGCACATTCTCTAAAAGAGAGACAAAGCTGAGCCTAATCCGTACACGGATCTAACCTGGTTGATATTTTGAATAATAAATGCCTGAATGTTTTCACAGAATTTAAGATTCATGGCTAATATTGGCTCATAGATATTGAAAAAAATGTATATCATCTTCTTGAATTCCTGTGTTTGTGTCTGTCTGCTCCCAAAAAATCTCATAAACCATCAAACAAATGTTAATGAAACTTATAGAAAGTAATAATTGGGTTTTCAGGCCAGCATTGTAAATAAGAATTTGTTCTTAATGTTTTTGCCTGGTTAAATAAAGGTTAAAAGGAAAACATCTACACTCATTACCCTTTTRGAGTCAACCTGATTCAAGATGGCTGCCACGGTAAGTTTATCTTTAAGACCACAAAAAATGTTCTTAGCTCTGTCAGGTTTACAGTGGAGCTGTACGGAGCCCGCGAGGGAACATGGGGGATTTTTTTCCTTTTGCGTTCTCACGCAATACTATTGCGTTACCTCGCAATACTTTTGCGTTACCTCGCAATATCTTTGCGTTACCTCGCAATACTTTTGCGTTACCTTGCAATACTTTTGCGTTACCTCGCAATACTTTTGCGTTACCTCGCAATACTTTTGCGTTACCTCGCAATACTTTTGCGTTACCTCGCAATATCTTTGCATTACCTCGCAATATCTTTGCATTACCTCGCAATATCTTTGCATTACCTCGCAATACTTTTGCGTTACCTCGCAATATCTTTGCATTACCTCGCAAAACTTTTTGGGTTACCTCGCAAACTTGTTTTGCGTTCCCACGCAAAAGTTTGTTTTGCATATGAACTGAATTAAATCAGACTTTTATTTTGAAATATCTGGTTACCAAAACAGGATGTGTCGCCACAGTTCGTGAAATTGACATTGATGTTGCGTGGCTGTACTGTGTTAAAATATCGGCATATGACAAACTTTCATGTGTGGCTGTGTGATATATTCATTCTTAAACTGAATTAAAGCAGTAGGCTAACTCGCTAATGGTGAACATGTGAATTGTTAATAAACCACAGGCACAACTGTGATAAAAGACTTTTGCGTTCCCACGCAATAGTATTGCGTGGGAACGCAAAAGAAAAAAATCTCCCGTGTCCCCTCGYGGGCTCCGTAGAGCTGACAGTCATTCACAGCACGTTATCCAAGTGTGACATTTTGCATCATTGCAAATATTATTTTCAAGGTTTGACCGAAGCACAACCCCGCCATTTTCTTGTCTACTTCTGTCATCCTGAACATATTTTCTAAGGATGCCAACATGAGATTTTGCACGAGCTTTAACCAAAACAACTTTAACTATCTTTTTATTTATTATAACAGGATCTGAAGGCAGGTTTGCAGTTTATAGAAATGCAAGGACTTTAACTTTTAAACTACGTTTGACCAAAAAGAACACGGAGGAAATGCCTCACTAACCCAGTAATAAASGTAGGAGGCCGACAACCGAAGCAACAATCAATTTCAGTGACTCATTCATCTTAGTAAATATATCAACCTTTAAATGTCACTGCCTCTGTTCCAACCAACAACAGTCCAGGTTCTCCATGTCTTTGTTCTTTCTTAGCACTCGTACGCATTATCTGGGAAGTTTTACTTATTTCAAACTTTAAATCGTTTAATCTGTACGAACCAGTTATTAGAAGATGAGGCTCCAAAAATCTTTGTTTGCACAAGTCAAGTGTAAAAGTTTTATTATTGGTTGTATTACAACAGTAACTGAAGCACAAAGAAMAAAAGTCCCAAGTCAAAAACTGAGAATCTTTTTTCAGTATGCTAAATTATTGCTGCTTTATAGATTATTAGAAAAGAAAACTGATAAGTGGAAATATACTTGGATACTAATAAACACTTTATCATATTTTATTCTTCTGTTAGAGCTTTGCTTTCTCAACTTAACTTTAATGCATTCATTCGTTYTCCAAACCCACACAATCTAAGTTATACACATCTTGTTTAGGACAATTAACAACCAATTTATTCAAGCTTTCATGTTTTAAAAGCTCTCTAATTTCTTGGTGAATTTATAAACATTCTATTTAACACTGAACACAAGGTTAAGAAAAAGTGAACTTTTTCATTTAATTCTCTCAAAGAGCTTTCAGAAAGGGATTTTGTTGTTGTTGTTATTGTTGTTGTTGTTGTTGTCATTTTGTTTGGGTTTTGATTTCTTGCTGGAGGTCGAGATGATTTCTGGAAATCCGTGAACGAAAACTTTTATAGGTTACTGCTTGTGGGGTTCCTAGAAAAGCAGATCAAAATCTAAACTTTAAGACAGAAACCTTCATGGAGCCTTAGAGGTCTTGAGCAAATACAAAAAAAAAAAAAAACGATATTTTTTGTTATCTTTAAGCATCTCCGATGGATTAAATCAAAATTTGAGTAGTTGGGGCACCTTCAAATAAATGTATGTCGGGAAAATAAAAATTAAAGTCTTTAGAATAAAACTTGTGCTTTTAACAGATGTTATGAGCTTGTGGAGCAGCGAGGAGAGTCTGGGACATTTCACTGACAGAGAGGGGAAAAACAGATTTGGTCCAATATTTACAAAATCTGGGAGGAAAAGTACATGTAAAAAAAAACTTCAAATAAAAAGAGGATGTCCTCTACAGAAGGATGGCAGTGGCTATAAAAAGCACTTAGAAACTGTAATAGTCTGTAAAAAAGAAGTGATGTTTATTTGATCGGGCTTTTATTGACCCGGCTTTAGCTTTATTTTGAGCCTGTTCATAATAAAACTGTAAAAGTCGTCTTCTGCAGAAAGTAGCAGAAAAAGAAACTTTAAGTATTGGTGTTCGGTCTTTTGTTGTACCTTTTTTTTTTCTACACGACTGCAGACTTTCGAGTTCACTGCCACATAATGATCAATTACATTGCTCAGCCATTGACTGAGCCCATTTTCACTAAGGTCAAACCTATTGTCCGGGACAATGACTCAATGAACATTTAGCTGCAGCAGCTCTTGCCACAAGTCATGTAGCAAAAATGCCCTTTCACAAACCCCACTGGTGCTACAATAGATGTTGTGCTGTTGTTCCCTTTCATCAAAGACTTCATACGCTCATCTTTTTTTTTCAATAAAAGGGAACCACATGCTGAAACAATATACAAGGTAAAATCAGCCCTCCGTGAATGATCACAAAGCGTTTGAGCGTTTCATTTCAGCTCCTTGACTGCCACGCTGACACTGTTTGACAACAGACAAGGATTCAAAATATGCTTTTAAAAACACTGTTTCAGTCACATCCTTTTTTTTTTTTTGTCTTGTTTGTGGTGTTCATTTGGATAAGTATGAGACTCCTCGAGCGTCTCTTCTTTGTGCTTGTGTGTTTTTACCTTCCATGACGTAGACCAGCGAGCCCACATCGCCTTCCTTTATGATGCAGCTGTCCTTTCCGTACTCCACGGGGTACATGCAGTCCACGATCTCTTGGATCTGCGACAGCTCCAAGTTCTTCATGAAGTCATTGTCCAAGATGGCTTCTTTAATCAAATCCTTGGACCTGGCCAGAGCAAAAAAATAAAAAGAGTTCAAGCATCGTGTGAAAGTTGCCCCTGTGAACACAAGGTCATGTGGTCACGATTAAAACAAAAAATGTCTCTGGAATTTAAATATTCTGAAGGACGCTGGCCCGTTCAGTGTTGCTTTTTTGTTGCAGCGCAATTAAAGTCCAAGCTTTACTGAAAGCAACCCCCCTGCAAAAACATCAAGGTAACATTTTCTTTTTCAAATGTAGGCACAAGTGGATAAAAGTGCCTAAAAGAAGCACTTTTATGTCCTTTCAGGGGGTGCTCATGAAAGCCATCAGACTGCGGAGTCGTTAGGCCGTTACGTGACTACTTTTCACCGAATCAATATGCAAGAGAGGGAGAAAATTAACTTTAAAGCCAACGTGGGGCTCTGCCAGAGCACTTTGTCGGGTGGACTAAAAGGGAAAGCGAGGTAAACGCACGTCAGACGACATCATGAAAAGAGGCGAATCCTCCTTGAAATCTGCGAGCGAGAAAGGGAACGCGCCGGAGGAGGCAGGATGTTTGTACGTAAAGAGTGTGCAGGGTAACTAGCACGCCAGGTGTGGTGAAATGTGAGAACCTCAAAGGAAGCATCAGTTTGATCCTCTCAGACAGACAGAAGGGAGAAAAGATGTAGGGGGTGTTGGAGGGAGAAGTGCGGGGGGTAAGGGGGTGAGTCAAGATCACTCATTCATTGAAAGTATGTCATCATCACAGTTTGAACTGTTCAGCCGAGCGCCGCACGGCTGCTTTCAGACAAAGTGTCGGTGACATGAATGAGGTTAATAACACGTGTCAGTGTTAATCCAGAGAGTAGACGGGTCCCGCAGGAATGTGAAGCTGCTACTCGCAACTACGCACAACTCGAGGAAGAAGGTCCTCTTCCTGTTTGGAGCCTGATGCTCTTTTTTTGCTGTGTGCTGTTGACTCTGATCACCCTGGATAACTTGGAGCTGAAAGGGCAAACATGCTGGAAGACATTTATGAAGCCGGGCTCCCTCAACACTGCAAACACATCACCAATCTCAGCAATGCCCAGTTWTATTTAGACTCACGGACTGAACTCAGACTCTTTGTTTCTGCTCTTTTACAAGTCTCAGATCTTCTAATGCCGAACGTTTTAAGATCAAAAGATTCTGATTGGGGAAATAAATCGTGCGGTCTTTGAATTTTTGCTTCGAAAAACCAAGAGAAAATAAAACGGCAGCATTCATGAAATGTCATATTTTATGGGATAAAATCCAAAAAAAAAAAAAAACGTAAACTTTGGAGATTTTTGATAAAGTGAAATTATGATGAACACATAATTCAAGAATACAACATGAAGGTAAAATATCCTGTCTTAAAGTAAACATCATATCCTTCTTTTTCAAATTAAAGTGGAACTGCAATGTGTTTTAGACTAACATCTAGGCTGAGAAAGTACAACTCTTTTTTTGGTCAAAGTAGAATTTTACCTAATTTGTTAAAGTATGTGCTGTAATTCTGAACACCTCTCAGCTACCACACCAAATTTTACTTGAATATCTGTAAAACTGACTGATCCGAAGACATTTTTTGTGTTGCTAACATAGCTGTGGAGGCCATTTCAATCCCGTTTCATTTGTATTCAGGGGCAGTTATAGGGGCGGGGCCACAGGGGCATTGGCCCCAGCTGAAATCTTACTGGCCCCCTGAAGTGCCCCTGTCCTGCCACTCATCTGTCCTTTGCCCAAGAGTAATGATGACGGGTGCAATTCCATGTCTAAACACTRGAGGCAGTGATGAGTCAAATGGGAAAGTCTGGCATGAATCAATCTTAGGGTGTATTCAGACCAGGAAAGTCCTTTGGTCCAATTGTTTGGTCCGGACCAAAAATTGACTTTTTTTGTTGTTTGGTGCGGTTTGCATTCACATTGTGYTTTTTTGCAAAYGAACTATAACTTGTAAACAAAGCCATGAGGCTGACAATCATTGCTCCCACTGGACAAAAAAAGGACGGGGGCTGGACTGAGCCACAGATCCAGAAGAAAACAAGGAAGTTCTGCATGCTGCGGTTCTGATGCGCACATTTTTGCTGATAGTACAACTGCAATGGCATTTAAAATGTCAGAAGCAGCTAATTTAACGGTGGTTCCGTGATGATATTCTAATTTTGGAGCGGTGTCAGTAAATGTGTCCCGCAACCCAAAGGAGAAGAGGTGCGCTGACAACACGCCGGCAGCAGAGGAGACAACGAAACAGGTATGTTTTCAGTTTATTTAGCTCAGCAACGGTGGCCCATGAAGTCCAAAAAGGTGCATGTTTAATGCAGTTGGTTCGGTTAGAGTCCGGTCTGTATTCACACTAGAAGTGAACTGAAGTGAACCGCACCAGAGTTGGTTTGGAAACGAACCGAGACCACCTCAAAAAGCAGGTCTCGGTCCGGTTGTTTGATGTGCACCAGAGTTCGCATGACTGTATTCACACCTGCAGAAAAGGTCCGGACCAACGCTGGAAACGAACTCTGGTTCATTTAAAGCGGAGCAAATTATCAGGTCTGAATACGACCTCACAGACGTCTTCTTCTCTTCTTAAGATTTGCACAACCCTGCAGGACAAGTCTTTCCTCTAACAAACAATGGCTGGATTTTCTTACATGCTGTGTTTGAGAGTATTTGATCTATTTACAGTAAAAATGCATGTAAAACTTGCAAGGAGAACATGCATGCAAGATTTTTTAAAATTACATTACAAGTGTTTGAACGTGTGTGACTGATTAAATGTATACATCTTACTAAAATCAGAGATTTGTGTACAAAGATGAAAAAAATACTTGGCCCCTCTACGAATATTGTGGCACCTTGGCGGCCCCTTATTCAGAAAAATCCTAGATCTGCCACTGTTTGTATTATTCTAAAAGCTGAATCCTGTTATTTCCCTCTTCAAAAGGAATACAATTAAAAGACATGAGAAAAGACCCTGTAAACAAACTTTAAGCAGCTTTCTGCTTTGAGCATTGTTACTAACAGAACCACTGTACCTTGAAGACCCCCCAAAATACTCATTAAATATTTTCATTTTGCCCTTGAAAGTCTAGTCATGCTGCTGCAAGAAATTTAATAAGAAAGGATGAGGGTACTGCACCTGTTTTATATTCTCACCCTCATTTTACGCTGAACCCTTTGTCCTATTTTTGGCAGGTGGGGAAGRTAATTTTGATTTAATTTCGGAAATCCACATTAGCTCCTGGGGAGTAAACATTAATAAAGAAGTGCCAAGTTCTGGATTGTGATGACAATCACAACCTAGCTTGTTTTGTTTTTAATTAAACTAAATCAACAGCTCAAAATCTGTTTTTGTTTCCAAAAATGGAGTCCGTTTGACCCCACTCTTGTTAAATTTACACCCGAGAGACCTACAGCCCTGATCGTGCCACGGCTGTGCGACCTCTTTCACCCACACCCTTCAAAAACATCTGCCTCCCACCGCTTTTGTGAGAATGACATCCATGTTTTTGTCCACTAGTAAAGTTTGAGCCGAGCCAGTTCAGCKTTCCTTAAAAGGAGAAAATATGCTCTTTTACGAGAAAAAAAAAACAGAGGGGTGGACGAGGCAGAAATGAGACAGAGAAGGGTGAATAGCGTATGTCAAAAGAATGTCCTAACAGCCAAATAAAGAAGATAAAGTTGGGGCGGGAGAAAAATGATAGAAAAGCAGAAACAGTTGGCCAATTGCAACAAGGATTGTTGCTATACTTCCACAAAAAAATCAAAGAGTGGAGCTTTTTTTTGGCTTTCAATAGGTGGGTTTAAATGTTAACTCTGGAGAGGAAAAAGCTCCAACTTTAGTGAGTTGCTTAAGCAGAATTGCCCACGCAAATTGCCTCGTAGTATAAAATTGAAGTGACTAGACCCTCTAAAGCTATTTATATTCTGTCTATCTGCTTTCCCCCATCCTATTTTGTATGTGTATGTTCATTAGGAGTGAGATAACAAATGAAATGTCATCCRCTGGCAAATGAAAATCGTGAAAAGTTGTCACAGACGCTCCGCAGGAAACTGAAGCTGTCATTATAGACTGCAGGTTGTTAGTGAGAGGAAAGTCATTTTCAAGATTTCACTTGCACAATAAATGTTTGGCAGTTCATCTTTTTGCTTTCTAAATGATAAAGCTTTTAGGAAAAGAAGTGGTCAGAAACACTTAAAATGCAGAACAGGACACCGGTTGGTGACAACAGAACAAGCCATTGTCTCACCACCRGTCCCTGGAAAATTTCTAAATGGGTGTACATGCACACTCGTATCATAAAAGGCTCAGAGGGACGGTAATTAACATAATGAGATGGTCACTTGAGTGTCCCCCCTTCCAGCTGTCCTTTCAGGCCAGCGTCCAAACATCTCAGGGAGAAAATAATGCAGGAAACAGAAGCGGTGAGCCTGTTTTGTGTTTTCTCCACCAGCGAGCTGACAGGTGTGACAGAGATCAGCAACACTTTGCTGCTCAAATAAAAAAAAGGAGAGGGAAAAAAAACATTTCATATTTGAATCCTTTCAGTTGTCAGCAGAATGACACATCTGACTCTGAATCTCACTTTAAAATAACTTTGTTTTTGCTCACTTTGACAGCATGAGTGAGGGTCGAAAACGGTTCTTCTGCTGTTCCTGAAGGATTAAAAGATCAATGTTTCTAAATGAAATGCTCATTTTTGTTTGTTTGTTTTGATCCACATTTGTTTTTCTTTCAATTGTGCTTTAAGTATGAAGAGTGGTCGTTCTGCCCATGATGAAGTTTAATTTTGTTCCAACAGTCAAAAACAAATCTTGTATAAAAGATAAACCTGCACAGAGAGGCTGTTATACTGATTGTCACAACTTGTATTAAACAGCTGCTGCAGATTAAACAGACCTTCTGCCAYCATATAAACCTCTCCTGGTTGGTATTCCATTTGTCTCTGTGTGCGCGTGTGCAGCATCTTCATGCATGCGCTACAGGTGAAGTACCTGCTGCGCCACATTACGCACCAGAATCACACAGGTGGAAAAGAGCGCGCGCGCGCACACACAACGCTGTGAACTGAATGATGGGAAATGAGAGAAAGGGGGGGTGGGGGGAGAGGGCAAAATACAAACACCTACTGCGGGCTTTTGTGGTAGAAAGGCAGGGTGACATGGCTGAGATCCTGGATGTCGAAGGCGGTGGGTTCGGCGGATATCGCCTGCCTCTTCGTGCGCTGCTGCTCCTGCAGCTCGCTCTGCTTGTGGACCTGCTGGGTCGCCGGCTTGATGATGGAGCGGTATTTGTCCAGCTCGTTCTGCAGCCGCTGGATGAGCTCGTCCTTCTGATCGAGCTCCAGCTCCAGCTCGTCGATGAGCGCGTCCCTCTGGCGCAGCTCCTCGATCTTCTCCTGGAGCGCGTACTGGAGGTCGCGCAGGGTGCCCATTTCAGACTGCCCAGGGGTGGGGTGGGGTGGGGGGGACTCCTCCGGTAAGTTTATGGAACGGAACGCAGGCGGCTGTTTGTCCTCTCTCCTCTTCCGGGCCGCGTGCAAACTTTCTCCGGCATGAAACGGCTTCAGGAGGATGCGGCTCCTGTCTCTCCCGGCGATCGAAGGAGCCCGTGCGGCATCTCTCGAGCACAACCGCGCAAAGTTTCTTGCCTCTGTCTCCGCTCTGCCTTTTTTTTTGCCCCCCTCTTCCTCCCTCCCTCCTTCTCTCCCTCCCTCGATGATGTGACTGTGGAGGATCGTCCTCCCCGAGAGCGCGTCAGGCTGCGACCCAGAGAGAGCGCATGGCGAGAAGGGCGCCTACAGGAATCTGTGGCGCGGTGCAGCTCGACGCGCCAGAGAGAGCGCCGCTTGTCACACGTGAATGAAGCGAGGAAGCGTCGGTCGTCATACCTCAGTGACGCCCCCACCCCCCGAGGGCTCCCCGAGTCACGCGGGTGGGGGCCTTAATGGAAGTTTGAGGTGATGGAAAACTTAATGAACCTCGGTGCAAGAGATGGGAAGCTGCTCAATTATAAAACAGATGGCGTTTTTTTTTTYTACTTTTTGTGCTTCATGTGACATTTGTATGCTCCAAATCAAATGCTGCTTTTTTTAAAGATACTCAGTGAAAATTACATATAACATAAACTACCAAAGGTTGTCCTGAGCTCTACATGGTGCAGTTTGAAAATGTGGTTTTCCAAATGTTGATATATTATTATGAAATGTGGGTATGCATTCAACATCAACAAAACCACCTTAAAATKCRAAATTCTCAGACTTTCATYCATCTKTTMATTTTTATGCACTTCTTCCTTTCATGGTCACGGGGGACACTGGAGACAGCAGTCATGTGTATAAGGGGCGGTGTACATCCTGTTCAGGTCACAAGTCCACCCCCAGGGCCACATAAGGTGTTTTCRCACAGCCCAACCCAGCTGGGGTTCAAACCAGGGTTTGGCAGTTTTGCATTAACCCTTATGGTCCAGATCCACTTTCTGGAACCTCGAGCTTTGGCTCCAATTGGCTGTTTGGCCCAATTTAACATTATACTGCTGCTCACTGATTGGTTCATGATCAGATGAGTTACGTCACACAGATGAGAGTATGTGAATCATTTGCAGTGACTGAAACCTTTTATTTTCACACAAGTTTAACTACACAACAGAAGCGAGCTAGTAAAAAAAACAACAAACTAACAAACAGCTAACATTAGCTTACAGTCTTCTGCCCTCTCGTCTTAAGCATCACATTTCTGGATGGTCCGGTACAGCCTTCCAAATTTTTCCTTCAAGTTTGTTGTAGTCCAGTGTTGTTTTGTCACAAATAAAATTAAATAAGATTGTGTGTGTTTAATGTTACGATCCCGCCAATATGGAAGTAACTCTCCGCTCAAGGTTGCCACCACCAGAAGGCAAGGTGGGTGAAGCGTCTTGCCCAAGGACACAACGACTGAGACGAGAACAAGGGATCGAGCCCGCACCGGTTACAGAACGACTSCCCTAACTACTCTGCCACAGCTGCCCCTGTTGCACAAACAACCAGAAAAACTACCATTCACTCTATTTCCAATTAGCCTAACCATCATGTGTTTTTTTGTTTTGTTTTGTCTCTGGGGAGGAAACTGGACTGCCCAGACAAAACCCACGCATGCACGGAGAGAACAGTTAAACTCTACCCAGAAASATCCCCAGCCTGGATTCAATCCAGCAACCAAAGGCAACAACTCTACAAACCGAGCAACCGTGTCGTCCAAATCGTTGGATTTCTGTATCCCAAATGGTTCCTATATGGATGCCACCAATGTTGACCTATTTTTTTTTTTTTGGTCACTTTGTTTCACTTTGTTGTTTTAGTGAATGTGGTTGTCGGCAGGYAACCCACACAGCAGACATGTGTGGGCCAGATATGGCGTCAAGCTGACACTGGAATGGCAAGTGGTTTGTCAGCCAGACGTGGGCCAGGTCGGTCAGTGATGACACTGATTTTAAAACGGCATTCTACAATTGGCCTAACTAATTTGATATATGTGGTCCAGATCTGTCAGCATCACAGCTGGTCCATTTTGTTGATGGTGGTGGCCCATGCATGGACCATCTCCGATAAACTGCATCTGGGCCACCAAAGGGCCATCATTCTTCGCTGTATCTGGGCTGAGCATTTTCTTATTATTATTTAAAGACACAATAACCAATATGAGAATAAAGATGTCACCGATTTGGTTTATTTGCATGTATTTTTGTCAGCCAGCCTTCATGACGTTGCAATGAGAAATCCTGGATCCTCACATCACCCCACCCCTCCTCTTCCTCCTCATCAGCTCGGATGCTGCGGACTCTGAGCRTGGCTGGTATCTGTCCACCTGATCCCAATGAGTCAGGGAGCAGCGTTTGGCCTCTCTGCACGCTCTGGACAAATTCAGAGGAGAATAAACTGCCAAGGACAATCTAATAGGATGGCGAGTCACCAAGGGTAAAACAGCAATTACTGCGGGGGCGGCGGTTGGGGGGCTGACAGGTGTGTGGCACAGAAAACTGGGAGGAGGAACGAGATTTCATGGGCTGGAAGATGTGGAGCGAATAAGGCATCTTTTTTTATTCCTGATAGGAGGAATGTAAACAACTCTGAGGGAGACAATGTTGTCCAATAGAAAGATCACAGCTGCCCTCTTGTGGTGGTTAAAAGAACTGCTGCAGAAAAATCAACAGAAATGAGACATTGTGCCAAAAGAAGAAAGCAAAATTGGGATTATGAACATGAAATTGGCCTTTCATGTTGTATTACATGCTAATCAGGGTTGCTGTTAAGAAATAAGGCATTAATACTACTATTTAACCCTTTTTGGTATTGTTTTAARTTATATTATCCTATTATATATTTAAAGAGTTTTTAACACTAAAGACAGAAAAAAAATTCAAAGCATAAGCGTTGGTACAAGCGTCTCAGTCAACACAGAATCAGTGTAAACCAAAACAGCTGTGAGTAACATCTGTTCAACAACCAGGAAATTYATAAATATTCTCCCTGTTGATCCCAAAATGTGTTTTCCCAGAAAACATTCRGACTCTTTTGTAATTAAATCTTTTGTGTAAACCTGTTTTTCTTATTCTYATGTTATGACTTCCTATCAGGAAATTGCAGGTGCCTTCAGGCTCCTTCTGGCCTGTCCAGCATCTTCTTCCAATCCCACCACGTGAGCACCACCACCCCMCCGGTCCCCAGGCCCCCCTCCCAGTGTCCTTCAAAGCTCCTCTGCGCTTTAGGTTTCACCTCTCTAAACCCATCCAGCTCAGCCCTTTTCCTGTGCAGATCGATCGAAACAGGATCCGCTGCTCCTCGCCACCGAAACCAGAGGAGCGGGGCGGGCCTTGCCGGCAGGACGGTGCCACGTCCCTGACTCTAACGGGGAGGTCACCAGGTCTACGACCCCCATGGGCAGGCTGTGCTCTGCATCGGTGCAAACAAGGTGTGTGTGCCTGTGTGGTCATGTGCTGTTAACATGTTTGTTCAGGGAAAACCTAGTCAAGCATCTTCAGTGATCCCTGGTTTCAGGTAGGAGGCAGGTAGGTGAGTATAGATACTGTAGAGGGTAGACAGATCAGTGGGTATGGGTGGATGCAGATGAGTAGATAGATGGAGATGGTTTAATGAGTAGAGCTTTGTTTTCTAACCGTCCCCTTTGCAAAGGGGAACAATGAGGACTTTTCCTGTCTTCAGTTCATTAATTAAAAAAGAAGACTGGAAATCGTCTAGCCACTCTAATAAAATCAAGCCCAGCGTCTGTGGCACTGAGCCATTGTGTGTGGTGGTAAGTCACAAGAAAATAAAAGAAAATACAGATAAAGATCASCCAAATCTCTCCCAGCTGTTTGACACAAACACTGAATCCAGTAAAGGTCCAAGGTTAGCAAGTGATGAACTCAGCTGATTGTGTGGAAAAGGGGGGGAAAAACACAGAATGACATGCTGTGAACCTAAAACGAGCATCCAAAGGTGATGAAGGAAGCATATGGTCAAACAAAGCGTTTTCTAATGGAGTATTAAATATCCTCAGACATGCACTTTGGGCCCTCCGTGCCCAGCTACTAAAAGCCAATAATGCACAGCACTTCCTCCAGTCTGGCTCCCCCCTGGGACCTCCGTGATGGATCTGATCAATTACCAGCTCTTTCTGGAGCTCGCCTTGGAGCTGCGTCATTCACCCAAAGAGTGAGAGCGCTCCCATTCATGACAAAGCTCGCAGGAAAGATGCGTAAAAGTAAAGAAAAACAAAGAAAAAGAAAGTAAGAAAAAGAAAGTATGTGTATATATTTGTACAGGGGTGGGGGCAGCGTGGGGGACAGGGCAGTGAGGAAACTTGTGTTTGAGCAACGCACACTTTTAATAGAYGCTCGGGTTTCTTTCCAAGTGGAAAGCAAAAACAAAACGGCACGCGCTCAGGGGGGAAGTCTGCCTTCTTACCAGTCTGATTTGGGATATTTCCGGAACGTCTGCCTGGACAGGTCCTGGTGCGTCTGCGGCTCGGCGGAGATGCCCTGCGCCCTGCGGGTCCGCGGCCCGATAAGTTGCGCGCTCGGCAGGACCGACTGGCATTTGTGCAGTTTCCTCTTCAGCTCCTGGATCTCGTCCTCGCGGTCCGCGAGCCGCCTCTCCAGGTCCCGTATCCTCTCCTCCTTGAGCAGCAGGATCTTGGCAAAGTCGTCCTCCAGCTCGCCCATTGCTGAAAAAAAAATTGTCAACTTCTCCGGGGATAAACTCCCAACACTTGGATGGAGGTGGTGGTGGGAGGGGGGGCAAACTAACTAAATAAAGAAATAAATCGTCACAAACCCGCCCTTGTAGATACCGATACGCGCAGGATGATGATGATGATGATGATGATGATGATGATGATGATGATGATGATGATGATGATGATGATGATGATGAT